GTGGAATATTCTGTAATGGTGCTTGTGATTGGGTTACTTTTAATGAAGATGTCCAATAATAGTTAATTCAAATTTCTTGGCCCAATCCAATAGTCCCATCTTTAGTCAACTTGAACAGAGGAAATTACCAAATTATGATACGTTTTCGAAAAGGGTTCCATATAGTGAGACTCTGAGAGTTTTTGGGGATATTGAGTGACTTACTTATTTAAATAATAAAATATCTGAAAGAGTTCTGTAAAAAAAGAAAAAGGAAATATCAAGACAAATCCAAAAACTTTTCTAAGAAACATTGCATTCATTAGATAATCTTTTTTGTCGTTCAACGGCGAAATTTGAAACAAATCACCCAACTTGGAATTTTTTTTTTTTTTAAAAAGAAAGTCTTAGCCCAACTTCTCGTTACAATACAAATGCAAGGCTTGATAATCAAAAGTTTTTGGTTATGTAAATCTATAAAAGAATATCTATTCGTCCAAAGATTTTAGGAGTTGATTTTCCAACATGGCCTTGGAAAATTTTATCTCACGTGTGACAGGTTTGAGATACAATTGCGATATTGCACGACTTTGAGATTACTAGTCCATGGATTGATGAGTGTTTTACGTTTCATATATTTTTTTTAGTAAGGTAAATTTGGACGACAAACACTTAAATATGCATGTTTACCAAATTCCTTTATTTTTGTTAACTTTCGGCTCTCTTTTTGAGTAACTTTTTTTGATGAAAACGATTGTAATATTACCTTTTCTTTTCTTATACTTCAAATACAGATTTTCATGGGGTTAATTATGCATATCCTAAAGAAAAGAAAGCCCCCTCCACATAACAACTAAAAGTCAGTCATATGGACCATCAAATTCTTACGCAGTCACCTTGGAATCTAATCCAAAATGCTGTCAAATTTCATAGAATCGAGTGATTGTATATCCAATTTCAGATAACGTGGGAACAAGCTCTTACTTCACACAGAGGCCACACGGGGCCGCTTGTAGTTTATTGTGTCGGCCAACTTCATTGTTAGGCCACCATTAACACAGTGTTAAAGATGCCAGGTCCGTCAGGGTAGTAGCTGTAGCGGGGTCATCCTGCTTCTTCTGATTGTGACCCTTTTGATCTCAGTTGCTTAACGAGTTGCTTCAATGCCCCACATCCAAGATCTTTTATCATGGCTCGCGAATAAGTGTTGAGAAAATGATATACCACGTAATCGGATTTTATATCACAATTGAATTCACTAGTAGACTTTCGGTTCTAGGCTGAGTACTAAAAGTCTTGAAATTTATGCTTTAGGAGACAAAGGGTACTTAAATTCCTAAAATTCAATTACTACCTATGTATAAGGTTTCGAGAACCCAGACCGTTCGGTGAACCAGAAATCTTGCTGGGTTAAGGGTTTGTAGTTCAACAGGTGGGCCAATAGTAATCGAGTCGTTATTGACCTGTGATGTGTCATAATTAATTAATATGTTATTTTCATTATTATATGGATCATTATAAACTAAAAAATAAAATAAAACTAACTCTGATAGAACATGATATTTTAATAATATTAAAAATAAAAAAGTTTGTGAATTCATGAATAAAAATTGAAAAGTTTATACAAAAATTAAACTACAACGTATATAGTAGAATTGTAATAGTGATTTTTAGATAGAAATATAAAATTTAGTGAGAAATTTTGAAGCTTTAAACAATTTAGAGCTAAACTATAATTTTTAAAAGGTGAAAAATGCCACAAAATAGATATTGCAAAAATTTGGGGGTAGCTTTGTAATCTAAATAAAATATAAGGATTAAATAAAAAAATATTAGAATAGTAGATGAGAGTTGCACCATGCGTATCAGGAGTGGGGCCTTGTTTCTTTGGTTTCGTGAAAACTATTCCGGTTTGCTGATTCATTGGTTGAACCAGACAGTTCAACTGTTTTTTTTTTTTTTTTTTTAAAAAAATAAAGCGATTCTTTGATTAATTGGATTTCGACCTCAACCCAACCCAGAAAACTATCCATCAATGGTTCAATCGGTTCGATCGGATGAGCTGGACTCGGTTTCAAAACATTGCCCATGTATGTTACATATCGAAGGCTTTACCCAGACGGCCAAATAACAGCCACTCCAATATTATAATACCTATCTTTATAATTCCTCAGACTAAGTGACCCCCTTAACTATTTCTTGAAACTAGAAAAGATTCTTGAAACGTGGTGACCCGAAAAGGATATCCCATTTCTGCGGTGTTGGGCATCCAAATTCCCTTTCGGGCACAGCAGAAGATTTAATTTCTTAGTTAATTTTTTTTTTTTCAACAAACGTAATTTCTTAGTTAATTGAAGATACAGATTTTGACGTCGCATTCACAATGGCCAACGCGTTATAGATTTTTTAGAAGCTACAATATATGCGACATTTGGGTTTTCATATGAGCAACACATGGGCAATTGTGGCAAGTGGTGGGAGGATTCTTGGCTTTGCATAATGGACATTAATCATGTTAGTCATGAATCATTGTCCAAGTTGCTATCGACAAAAAATGGGTAGAGAAAAAAAAAAAAGAAAGGAAAAATTTCGAGTATTTTTCAGTACCTGCAATTTTAATCTAATATGCTAGAATGGTTGTTGCCCAATGGGATTTGCAAGCCCCTGTTTTTTTTTTTGAGGGGTTCAATTCTTTAGTTGGCTACGTTTTGGATATGTTGTTGAACAATTTAATTACCATTTTGGACCGTTGAATGTCATGTCAAAAGAGACATGAATAATGATAGAAAAAGAGCGAATGCTCGATATTGGAATCTCAACCTACGGTTATTAATTGAGTTATATTTCCTATTAAGGGCCCTTGAAAAATTTCAAAAATTCACCAATCACGCTTAATAAGATGCAAAGTTTTCGTCGTTGTTAGGTTCAGAGTTTAAATCTTATTCCTGACAGTTGAGAAAGGAAAGAGTGCGAGAAGCAATCGAAGGATTAAAAAGAAAAAAAGATGCAAAGTTCCTTGCTTTTGAAAAAACCTTCCATACTGAATTCAATTTGATGCTGAAGTTTAGACTATTTCGTAAAGTATCTGCAATAATTCATGTGAATGTGAACATTCCAGTTTTCTCTGAGAAAAAGGCCGAAGTTTGTACGAGTTTTGCTAGATTTAGATATCGTGACATCTCAAAGGGTCCTGTTCAAATTACCAATATGAGGAAGTAAATAGTAATACTATGCTCAAAATTTTTTTTTTCTAAAGCAATCTCATATTTGTTTACAATGTGATCAAAAGCTGATAGGATAACGGAAAGAGGTGTCTCCGAATATTGTGTTTGAATTGTAATTTTCTGGAGTTTTTACAGAAAATATATTATAATAATTTAATATATGTGAGATAAAAAGGTGATTGTAAAATATGTTAAAAAATATAAAAAATTTTTGATAGAAAATCCTTTTGCATACCGGAACCTGAAAGCTGATTGGACCTAGTTAGAGGCTCTTAAAACTAATATTTTATTACCTCCCAGGTCTCATATATACGACCCTGGATAAGAACTTTCATTTTCCTACCGTAAGCATAACTCCGAGTTGACCTGTTCATCCGAAAATGAAAAAGAATAGAGCGATATATATTATGAAGTGTGAGCGTCAATGCAACAGATGGTCCAATCAACTTTCTTTAGATATGCCTACGAGTGGCTCCTACAATGGTGGAATTTTAGGTTAGCCTTGACCATCTGGGGTGGGTACAACAATGAAAGAAAATATCTTTATATCTTTATCTACTTTTATTAATTTACTTTCAGCAAGTTAACTCGATGTCCTTATTTCTGAGGCAAGATAAATAATCGTACCTGGTACAGGGACCAGATTACCAGAAGCTATGATGATGATGATGCATACTTTGTCCATGGTATTGCATTTGCTGCAGGATTGGTGGTGGTGTATGAAATTTACTATAACAAACTGACATACACAGACAAAAGATGTACGACAATATTAAATGATTGTATGACCTTGTATGAATTAGGTATTTTTAAGATGAGTGATGCATGTAAAAACTTTTAATAGAGATATAGATGGTTAGATATTTTTAGAGTGTTCTTGAAAGTGTGTTTGAGGATGCATTTTGAAATATTTTTAAAATTTTAAAATTCTTTAAGGTATCTTTTAAAAATAAAAAACACCACCCAATTCCACCACCTCTTTCCCCCTTTCTCTGTCCTCCCTCTTTCTTTCTTTCTCTTACAACCCTTTTCCCTCCCTTTTCCCCTGTTTGTGACCAAATCTAGTGGCAGCCCCCCACCAGACCATGGGAGAAGGGAGGGGGAAGGGGTTGCAGGGAAGGGGAGGGAACACGAGAGGAGAGAAGGAAGAGGGAGAGGAAGGAAAGGAAGGGAGAGGAATGAGGAGGAGAGAGAAGGGGAGGGGCGATGGCGATGGTGAGGTGGAGGAGGAGCAGGGACGAGAGGAGAGATGGTGACGGCCGTGGATGATAGTGTAGGTGGTGGTAGTGGACAGCAGAGGAAAATATGATAGTATTTGCTAATTTTTAAGTTTTTTATTTTTATAAATTGTATTTGAGATTGTGTATGTTTTTAAGTTGATATAGTAAATTTCACAAATAAAAACAGTTTCTGAAAGAAAAAAAAAACCTCCAATCCATACATAACATGATGTAGCAAGTGCTTCAAGGCTTCCAAGTGTAGGTACGATAATGTGCATGGCCAAGCCCATGATATGTTATTTTGTTTTCTTCCTCTTTCAAGTCCTTGATAGTTGATATCCAAAGTTTGCAAACGTAGTCACACTGCAGAGAGTTTTGGCGCCGGGGGGGGGGGGGTGTTGTTGTTCAGCAATTGGCTAGCCAGCATTTACCGTGAAGATGACATATGGTACGTCAGATTGAATGCTAAACGTGAATTAACAATTGATCAAATTACGTAAATCCCAAGATATAATTCCTACGGTGCAAGCAGTTGACTTTTAAAAGATTCATGTAGGGGAAGGCCTCAAACACATCATACACAAGCAACAAACTATGATATAGTTTCAAAGTCCCAAAAACAGGCTACTATGTTATTGACAATAGTGCGCATAATAAATTGCAGCACCAGTCACATATTCAAGGTACACAACAAGGATGGAGCAAACTCGAAAGTCTTACACACACGAGATTATTTAGGCAGTTGCCAACTGCAAAGCAAAGGAAACCTCACGAGAAGATTACACAAATTAAAGGTACATATATATATGTGTGTGTGATCACGGGAATTAGAAAAAGTGATGCTTCTTTTTCCCCTCGGCCTCTTCCTCTTCTTCTTTAGCTTCCTTCTTCTCGTGATGCTCATGGAATGCAAATCCACCAGCTCCAAGTGCGGCTACCGCTCCAATCTCTTCTCCTATCTTGTGCCTGTGAGCATGCTCGGGGTCTTTCTTTGCCTCATGCTTCTCATACTGGTACATAATTGAGATTGAAAAAAAAAGAAAGAAACAAGAAATTAATCAAAAGACAAAAAAGAAACAAAAATCAACGATATTTAGGCGTAAACCTATCACTTTGTAGAATAAAACCCTAATGATGACTCCATAATTTGACAACCCTTTTTCAAGTATGCTAAAGAAAGGTAAAATAAATTGAAAGATACGTATATAACCCCCTAGAAATGACCCCAAAAAATTATATAACATGAACAGTCATTATAAGAAAACTGAATGTTGGACAAACTAAAAAGCAAAGACACTTACCAAGGCATAGGCACCAGCAGCAAGAGCACCAGCTTCACCAAGGTGCTCAAGATTTTTGTGGTGCTTCTTTTCTTTCTCATAATCAGGCTTTTCAGATTCATCACCACCATAGCCACTACCATAGCCAGCACCACCACCATAGGCGGCACCCGTGGTGGTCTTATCACCAGAGTACTTGTTTCCATATCCGGCATCACCGCCGGAGGAGTACTCGTTGTAGCCACCACCAGTGGTGGTGTCACCAGAGTACTTGTTGTATCCAGTGTCAGTCGTATCACTAGAATACTGGTTATAGCCACCACCGGTGGTGGTGTCGCCGGAGTACTTGTTGTATCCAGTATCAGTGGTATCACTAGAATACTGGTTATAGCCACCACCGGTGGTGGAGTCATAGGGTGCATCACCACCGTAGCCGGGCCGATCTTGATCTTCATCCTTCTTGTGGTGGTGGAAGAAATGGTGGTGCTTCTCTTCAGCCATGATGATGAATTAAGGACAAAGAAAATATGGAATGCTAAAGAAGGTTGATTGAAATTTTAGAGAGTGGAAAAATAACAGTGTTATTTGTGCAATTTGAATGGATAGTGGGCTGTGGTTTTTATAGGCGAATGAATGCTAATGTGTCGAAATCTTGGAGGTGGAGTTGATCTCTAGTGGGGTGCATAATTAATTGTTTTGATAAAAAGTCATGATTTTCCTAATACTCATATCATGTTCCTTTGCCGACATTGAGTAAAGGAGGGGGCGTTACAGTTGAACTCAATCCAAATGGGATAGAATTCTCGAGGAATATGCTTTTTGTTTTCTTCCTTTAGAATAAGCACTTCTTTTCCTTTTCATTTTTACCAAAAAAAAAATCATTGAGAAATAGAGAAAGGAGGGAAGCAAGAAGTAAGATTTAAGGCATGAGAATAGTGGGATCAAATTCTTTACTATGACATGGCAATAAAGGATCTTATAGGTTGCAGGATATATACGTGATTCCGTCAAGAAGTAAGGGTTAATCGCAAGGGGATATTTTGCAAACCACGCAAAGAAATAAAGATTGATAGATTCTTTTCTACTCTTACTTTTATAGCCTTTAATATCTTTATGAAGTTCATCATTCTTACCATCTAGTAATCTTTTTTTATTCCCAAACAAACAAAGAAGGAAAAGCATGTTCATCTTTCTTTTTTTTTTTTTTTCCCTCTTTGTAACTTTTATGATGACTAGCTAGAGACAATTATGGTCGCTTTCTGAAGACGACCAAGCAATGAAAATTATAAATGGGGATTAAATTATTATATCACTTGCGTAGTCATATTTTGCTGTCTCAATCAAGCATTTCAATGGTTTTAGTGTTGCAGGCTTGCATATACCCTGGCTGAAAGAATTGCGTGTCCTTAGTGTTAAAGTTGAACTAATGTCTTCAACTTATGCATTCGACTAGAATCACATGTGTGTTCTTCATTGGTTTATTAGTTCTTCATTGAACCAGTAAATAGCTTCAGCATCATGGACTTCCTCTGTGAAACTCTAGGAAAATCATGGTCAAAATCTGATCACCTAAAGAGTCCAATTTGTAACTGGTTTTTAATATAATCATGCACACTAGTCCTAAGTTATACCAAGAAGCAAATGAGACTATACATTTTTTTTTTTCTCAGAGAGAGAGAGAGATCATACATTTTACAGTGAAAACACCATTTCAGTAATTCCCAATGCGAATAATTATGGAAAGTAAAAGTACTTGAAAGAAATCAAGCAATTCAACCCCCCCCAAAAAAAAAAAAAAGGCCACATCAAAGATTGTTGTTGCAGTTTGCTTGCTCCGAGACACTAATTCATGCTTTTGCCTTTTCCAAGGAATGTGATTCAAATGACGTTGTGTTCGAGGGAGTGAGACATTATCCTCGGTAACCCTCATTTATTCCAAGGTTATTTCTATATGGACACTCAGACGTGGGTCGGTGGGTACCGGAACCTGAATATGACCGGCACCAGTTGGAGTCATTAATCTACTTGAAACTAGGGCGGCTTAACAGGGGAAACCAGGAACTGCATCCATTAACATGTTGAGCAGTTGTTTCAGTGTTAATGTTCTTGAAAAGGGATTAGTATTTTGATGCTTTACATACAAGAGAGACATAGCTTAAAACCAATCGCCACCTCCAGCAGTTAAAGATTGTTGCAGATGTCAGGTTCTGCGGATTCAAAACCCTATTGTACAAGCAGTTTCCAATAAACTGGTTGGGGTCAATACCGTAAGAAAAGAAAAAACCTCCGGTAAGGGTTAGTGGTGAAAAAACATTTTAGTTTTTGAATTAATCTCACATAAATATGAAGACAAATTTAATTCACAATAATTAATCTCACATAGCTATGGATCTTAGTTTTGCCACTCTTATCATGTTTTGTGATATTATAAGCACATTCAACTTCTTCCAAGCATTGGCTAACTCAGTAATCATCTAAGAGAGTTTAACTAAATCTAAAATATACACTACGCATTTTATCAAATGCGAATTAAAATTCGCATTGCAGGCTATCAGTCTATATCAAACAACGTGCGTGTGTGGCTCAAAATTTAGTGAAACTTTTGGGGTGGAAGATGAATTTTGAAAGCTGGGATGTTAATTCACCGACAGTCCCTTTTTGTCCACTCCTAGTTAATGTTCATAAAGGCGAGGTTTGAATAGTTTAGGTTTGGCAGTTAGACATTTAGAACTTAGAAGATTCAAGTGAATACTATATCCGATATTTTATACAACAATATTACCTAAAAATCCCTTCATTAACAGGAATCTACACAACTGATCTAAATGGCAAGTCGAGGAGGTCCCTTCAATTATGAACAGGAATTGAGATTGTCTCTATCTGTTGCTCTTGTCAGGATTTTTCTTGGTTGTGATTTCTAAATTAACATAAACCCAAAAAACTGTACGTGAATTTGTCTATAATTTGAAATTTGGACTGGGCCATGATTTGGCCGAGTTTAATAGTCAAGAGTCAATGTGTTGGATCAAATTCAGGCTCATCTAAGAACCAGGTAACGTTATCATGATATTATAAATATATAATAATTTTATATAAATATATATTAAACTTTATTCTAAATATTCTACAATTCAATACCCTTTAAACCTAACTCAAGTCTAATGTTTAGAAGCTGTAAATACAAATTGACAAGTTCAGAACTAAATTCGCAAGACATACTTGAAACAGTGTTTCTTAACCTAGATTGGATTGGTCAATTCGACTGATTGAATCGAGAATCGGCCATGATATCGATCTGATTAAATACTAAAATTGAAAAATGATATGAAACTGATCAAGACCGTTAAAACCGCGAAAACTTGATTAATTGATCAAGCTGGGTTTTGACTTTCTTTACAAATCTAAATGTTTAATTTATCCCAAGATCCCCAATTCCCAAATAATTCACGTGACCTTCTGCCTACCTATCAGACTTTCTACTTCATCTCACATTAAAACTTCACCGCCAACTTTTAGCTAGTCTACAAACAAAAAATTAATAATCAAAGAAACCCTCAAACCTTTTTCGCCTCTTCTTATGTCAATTGTCAAGTACTACAACTTATTGCCTAGAGTTGCTATCGAGTCGAGTCGAATCGAATTTAAGTAGTGTATTATTCGAACTCTACTTATGTAAAAATACTTAAGTTCGAGCTTGAGTTTTCAAGTTTGATTTTTTTAGTAAATTTTACAATTTTATAATAAATAATCAAGAAATTTATTACAAAGACATTGCTCAATAAGGCTTGACGAGTGCCCAAGTTTTTGTTTTTTCTACTCAAACTCAACTTGATTATTTTATCAAGTGATTCGAACTCGATCAACACTGAGTACGAATTGAACTTTTGATCGATCGAGCTATTATTGTGTCCAAATCAAGTAACTTAGTTAATTTACACCTTCGCTCCCGACACTAATATTGAAAGATCAAGCAACTTCACCTCTACACCAAACACCATTGTAGCCACGCTCTCTTCTTTTATCTCCAAATCCAGAAGTCCATAGATCCAAGCTCCCCGTACTTATAAACTTCATAGATCCAAACTCTTTTATATCTAAACTCTACTTTAATTTTAAGGGTTTTCAAGAATTTCTTGATATGGAATTCTGATGATTTTCTTGTTTTCTTCAACACTAAGATATATCAATCATCCTATTCTAATAAGCTTTAATATTCAGTTTTTGTTAATTGTGTTTGTGGAGCAATGTTTGATTTCTTTTGGCGCAGCAATTCTTTGTTTCTTCTAATACTCTTTCTGGTGAATCTCTTAATTTTTATTTTTCCAGCAACTGGTATGGAAAGACACAATTTTTTGTTGCTTTGGGTTTAACTGGAATGTTTTTTTGGTTTGATCCAATTAGAAAGTTGACAATTCCAATGAGGAATGTTCATTCTTTTGGAACTATTGGGCTTGACTTTAAGTTGGCCAGCACATGAATTGTTTAACTTATCATATATAAATTAAAAAAAAGGTTCATACGAAAAAAAAAAGAAAAACATTGAACCGGTGATCCGGCTGGTTGGACTAGCAAAAATCGAAATCGGTCACTCATCTAGATCACTCAACCATTTGATTTTAAAAACATTGATTTGAAGAAGTAAAGATATTGAAGCTACAATTGAAAATCTAAAAAAGCTTATAAGAGTAATTATAATTGTTTAAAGTATTTAGGGCTCAAAACAGAATAATAGAAAAGTTTATTAAACATTCGCTTCATTTACTTGTTTGAAAGAGTTGCTACGGTATCCGACTTCCTGAGTCTTTTTTTTTCCTTTTCCTCTCTGTTTTTTTTTTAAATCTTTGTCTTGTTTTCTTCCTTCACCAAAACAAAACATCATATCATCTTATTATTTACATTCTCATGTTTCTCAAGTTTTTTATTCAAAGCTTAAATTAACATTTTCTTTTTCCTTTTTATCCTCTATCTCCCTTTCTTACTTTTTTCTTTTGATTTTTGAATTTTGATGTTAGATTTGTTGTAGATCTTGCTTGATAGATGAATTAAGCTTGATTTTCATTTTTTTTCCTTCAATAGAATTCAGGAAAGTAAAAAAGTAAAAAAACAGAAAGTCAGCAGCCAAATAAAATGACTCAAAAAAGAAAAATAAAAAAACCCGATTCTCACTGGTTTAATGGGTTTCCGATTGAACCCGAATTTTGATCGAATTTGACCAAAATTTTGGCGAGTATTTGGGGGGGCTTGGACCAGATGATTAGCCAGCTCTTGGTTCATCAAGTCGAACCAACCCCGCCCAATCCGTGTTTATAAGAATAGCAATTTGTGCAAACATATTATGAGATTCCCTTTTAGGTGTAGGATAAAATGTCTTAAATCTTACTTTATGCTAGGCAAATTTTTGAATTTTTAAATTTAACACATGGAAATAAAAATGGTGATTCTCCACGAAAAATGGCCCCAAAAATATCAAGGAAAGTTAGTAATGCCAATTTTGAGAAATTACAACTTTTATTCAAAAGTAGCCATTTGCTTTGAATCCGAGGTACATAACTTATCAAGACTCAGAAGCTCTACAAACTTACTAGAAGTAGAAGAGATAATTATTCATGACAAGAAATAAAAGCACTACATCATATCATCATCCTGGTTACATATCTTGGCAATACAATAGTCGACACCATATTACTTACCAAGTCCACACCTATTACTCAAGAAACTTGACAGACTAGTGCGGCCTCGTCCTCAAGTACATTTTTAGTTTCCTTCTGCTATACTTGTTTCGTCCTTCTACTGCAAAAATTTGATGAAAGGAAATTAGCAAGAATTGGAATATGTATTAGGGAAGATAGTCCGGGAGGAAGTTGAAATTATCATGATTTATATTATGGAAACGACAGGAATTGAAATATCAGCAAGTGACTAAATCTAATCATATTAAGACGGGGAATGAAATAGATTTCAAAATAGATCCAAACAGAGGTTACCAAATAACACTTATATAAATTAAAACAGGAAAATCAAGTAGGATGACGAAAATTCAATAATTGTGGGATTAATTAATTTGAAAAATCCTGAAAATTTTCCATTTTTTAGAGAATTCACAAAAGAGAAGAAGAAAGTTTTAAATAGACATGATGACTTTTATCACAAGGTCGTCTTAGGAATAAATGTTTGGTTTAAACTCAAGGAACAATTTCTGAGGAACGTATGCTTTCAATTTAGGAAGAATCACCTTTGTCTGGTGCAGAGTTGTTTCGGTATATGCGAAGTCAAGTCCAGGAAGTCCACCAGCATTTTCATACGTTTGGAAATCTGCTGAAGAATTGATCACCCCAGATGAAAAAACCTCCTGGAATACACGAGAATATGTGGAAAATATGAGTTCTTGCTGAAACTAGAAGACATTATTTACTAGTAAATCAGTGAAGGATTTCGATTCTGATTTTAAGCTTTTTCTCCTCATAATTGATAATGCATCAACAGACCATATTAGCGACGTAGCTAGATGGATATATACTTGGCTGTTTAAGAAAAGTCTTAAAATGCGGGAAAGAAATAACGTTAATCTTTGAATTTTCTTTCCTGAGGCAACAAACGTTTTATTATATATATATATATATATATATATATATATATACACGAAGCAATAAAAAAATAACTAAGTTAAGCTAGTATTGGGGCTCACATTATCTCGTCCTTTTTTGCCCTGCTGCTCTTCGTTATCTGTCTCTTCTTCTGATATTTTGATTAGTAGGGAATAATATGGGGCAATTGAGAAAGACTATCAAAATTGTCATGGTGACCTGCAACCTGTACGTTCACTTGAGAACTATTCGTGAAATCTTGTAGCTAGATTGACTATGCAAATCCTTAACAATTTGCAAATTTTAGTCTAAATTAAAGTTGTTAATGGACACAAGTCTCCAAGTTTATTGGAGATTTAGCTTTATAGTTCAGTTAGGAGGTAAAAAATCTAAAACAACTAAATAATTCATAAGATAGAATAAAACCCATGTTCACAATGTGCTTTCATAGGGTAAATACCTATGAAAAAAAGGAGAAAGGATGTGGCCTATGAGAAGCCACAATGACTAAGGATAAATGAATACATTTTTATGTTTGCTTACAAGAAAATTGTCAAGAACTTCAGTCACTTAGGAGTGTGGGGGGCCAAAACATCGATGACGATACATAGACATGTAGGAATATGGGTGCACAAAAGCAAACAGTGGAAAACCTTTGACTATGTACAAAATGACTCTATGAAAAGTCATTTTCTTCAATTCTTGTGCACAAATATTGCTTTTTGTGTGAAAATGTATTACCTAGTTGAGATTGTACACAACTTCCCACAAATATTGCTTTTGGCATAGCAGCACAGATTTTCTTTTCAACCATGTTATTCATTTGTTATTTTCTTTACTACTGAGATTCATCCCAGTTTTTTTTTTTTTTTTAAATCATAGAATTTTCTTTTTTTCAATTAGGAGGTAGGATAGTAGCTAGCATGTTCGAAAAATAAAGCAATTTAAGAAAGCACAAGGTAGAAGTTCACAACTAAAGCAGCAAAGGGCTTAAAATGAAGAGTTGCTAATAAGAAAGTTTTTTTTTTTTTTTTTTGAGAAAATTCTGTATAAGGGAAGTAATATCAGTCCCATATAACGGTTTTCTGATAACTGTTTGGACCCCTTGTCCGTCTGTGCGTACAAAACCAAATAAGCGCACGTAGTTAAATTTGGGGCCACAAGCGCCAATTCCAACTGTCGGCAAAGACTGTTATATTAGGAAATAGATATTTAAGAAAAAGATTAGGCCAGGCCTACAATGATCATCTCAAGTTTCAACTTTCAAGGGCATCCTGCCGGTGGAAGATTCTTCTTTGCAGAAATTTAAGGTCTCGTTTGAATTGAGGTTTTTGGAAGAAGGATTTTTACTTTTTTTTTTTGTAATTATATTTTTCAAACGCCGTTTTACATTTCATGTATGCCAAAATATATATATATATATATATATATATATATATATATATATATATATAATCTAAAAAATGGTAATCCATATGTTTGTTGAAGCCAGTTTAAGGCTAGCTAGTGAATTTATCAACTCATAGTATGAGAAAAACTGAAAAGATTTCTTCCCCGTGAACTTCAGGCAGTCACGTTTACCCCTTCCCCCGCCGCTCAATCTTAAATGTATACACTTCATCCCCTACAAAAACTAATTAAGGATAGGAATACCTAAAAAATATGAGTGCAATAATAATATTGTCCTTTTATTCATGAAATTATCTATACCTTGGTATTATTTCCTTTTAACTTATCAAGTTAATGGTGATTCTCCACAAAGACTAATTCATAAATTTTAACACTTGCAAAATGAAAATGGCGATTCTCCACAAAAAATGGCCCCCAAAAATATCAAGGAAAGTTACTAATGCCAATTTTGAGAAATTACGACTTTTATTCGAAAGCAGCCATTTGCTTTGAATCCGAGGTTCGTGCATAACTTATCAAGACTCAGAAGCTCTACAAAATTACTAGAAGTAGCAGAGATAATTATTCGTGGCAAGAAATAAAAGCACTACATCATATCATCATCATCCTGGTTTCATATCTTGGCAGTACAATAGTCGATACCATATTACTTCCCAAGTCCACACCCATTACTCAGGTAACTTAGATCTATTGGGGAAGATAGTCCAGGAGGAAGTTGAAATTATCAAGATTGATAATATGGAAATGACAGGAATTGAAATATCAATAAGTGACCAAATCTAATCATATGAAGGCAGGGCTTGAACTAGATTTCAAAATAGATCAAAAGAGATAAATTAAAGCAAGAATGTCAAGTAGGATGACGAAAATTCAATAATTGTGGGATTAATTAGTTCAAAAAATTCTAAAAATTGTCCATTTTTAGAGATTTCACAAAAAAAGAAGAAGGAAGTTTTAAAAAGGGCGTGATGGCTTTTAATTATCACAAGGTTGTCTTTGGAATAAATGTTTGGTTTAAGCTCAAGGAACAATTTCTGAGCTGCTGAGAAAACAAAACGAAATTCGAGCAGAAGCAGCCATTTATTGCTTTCAATTTAGGAAGAAATTTTGTGGGTGATCTCATAGAATTGCCTTTTTCTGGTCTAGAGTTGCAGCGGCATATATATGTGGCGTCTATTCCAGAAAGTCCACCACCCTCTACATACGTATACAAATCCGGTGGAGGATTGATCGGCCCAGATGCAAATACCTGGTGGAGGACACGAAAATATGTGGAGAATATGAGTTCTTGTTGTAACTAGAAGACATTTTTATTTACTAGTAAATCAGTAAAGGATTATAGATTCTGATTTTAAGTTTTTTATCCTCATAATCGATAATACACCAACAGACCATATTAGCGACCTGGCTACATGGATAGACACTTGGCTGTCTAAGAAAAGTCTAAAATTGAACATTGAAAATGACCAGCTCTCAGACTGCTAAATCAAAATGAAAAAAAAAAAAAGTAGAAAATATGCCATTTGATACTTAAAATTCAAATAAAACGTTTTTAATATACTAGTGATTGATTGGTGGTGGGGAACAGAAACGTAACTTCCATTCTAAAATTAATTGAGTACCTTATAATTTTGAGTAAATCTTATATACACTGACAGCGTATACATTATCACGATTAGATGCATGACACATAAGTAAAATTTGAATTTTAAATTTAAATTCAAATGAGCTATCACTCATCCAATGATGATGGTGTATGCACTGTCAGTGTATAAAAGATTAATCCTATAATTTTTGGGTTTGAAAAATTCATGTTTAGCCATTAAGTTGCTGATATTCTTCTTTATTTTCTTAATGAAAAAGGAGGCTTGTTGTTCTAGGCCCGGAAGCACCACAAGTTAAGTCAATCTAAGGCATGAATATATGAAAAGATGACTGTCTGATTAAGCTAAAACCATGATTTAGCGAATTTAAGTATCAGTTTCACAATTGAAAGGAGAATAGTGCTAGGATTTAACTAGGCAATTGTGATTTACAGATTCAAAAATGCTGGAAAGAAATAACTTTAATATTTGAATTTCCCTTTCTAGAGGCATTAAATGGAGGAGCTAACGTGTTTATATATATATATGTGTGTGTGTGTGTGTGTGTGAAGCAATAAAAATAGAGTAAATCTTATATACACTGACCGTGCATACACTATCACCGTTTGATTCATGATATGTATGCAAAAGTTGAATTTTAAATTCAAATTTTGCATAGTTATCATTCATCCAATGCTGAGAGTATATACACTGTCAGTGCAGGAAAGATTAATTCATAAAAATAATAAACACGTTAAGCTAATATTGGGGCTCACATTATCTCCTCCTATTTTGTACTGGTGCTCTCCATTATCTGTCTCTTCTTCTGCTTCGTCTTTCCCCTGTTGATATTTTAATTAGCAGTCAACAAAATGGGGTAATTGAGAAAGACTATCAAAATTGTCATGGTGACCGGTGACCTGTATGTTCACTTGAGAACTATTCGTGAAATCTTGCAGCTAGATTGACGATACAAATCCTTAACAATTTGGCCAGCATAAAATTTTAAAAAGTTGGAAACTACAACGCAATTCTAATCAATCAGCAAGTGCAGTAACCCAGGGTAAAGAAATGAACAATAGATCGAAAAGATAGAAATTAATGAAGAAAAGGTGTGTATAACAATGCAATTCTAAATTTCTAATTAATCAGCAAATGCAGTAAAGAATAAATTACTGCTTCTGTGTATTGATATGTTAAATACCTTGTCATAGGTATCCAGACTCGGTTGAACTGTAAAAACTCCAGGACATTGTCCACGCCCTCGATAATCATAATCTTTTGCCTGGCCAGAATGAAGGAGCATCCAAAATTAAGTTCTTTTGCAGATAGGAAGAGATAATCTCACTAGAAAGCAATGAAGGATGGTTAATTCGTTAAATTTAAAACAAGGTTTTAAATTACTGTTTTTATCTTTCAAACGACTTTTTAATCTCAAGCATATCACGTCATAAAAAAATGTTACAACATCGTTTTCACAAAAATTTTCTATCTAAACTGATTATTGCTACAATAAAAATTGTCCACATAATACACCAACAAATCTTTCGTGTAACCGGTGCGGATGGATGCTTGGTACGCACCTCAACGTGGCCAATTTCTTCACGAGAAAACGTTCCCTATACAACAATGATTGGAATTAGTGAGAATCAACAATGGCAAGGATAAGTGAACGCATCTTTATGTTGCTTACAAGAAAATTGTCAAGAACCTTAGCCAACACTGAAAAGCAGGAGTATTGATAGGAATTTAGGGCCACAGAAGCAAATTATGAAAAACTCATAACTCTCTACAAAGTTTTTTTTTTTTTTTTTTTTTCTATTTGGTGCTATCACAGCGTAGGATAAACACAAAAAGGAAAAAAAAAAAAAAGAAGAAGAAGAAGATAAGAAGAGGGTGAAGCCATTGTAAAAGTTTTAAAATTACAACTTAGCACAAAATTGAATCTACTTCCACCGGCCTTAACTTTTTTAATCTGCTGCATGGTAGGGCACACATTAGCAGGACCCATCTTCAAATTTATTAGATGTGCAAAATAAATAAATAAATAAATAATCAAGTTGACATTGTACAGAACTTCTCCCAAGTGCTTGACCATTGCAAGATGAAGAAGGAATTTTCATGATTATTGACATGTGATGCCCTTTTGACATGTTAGCACAATTTTTTAGAATATAGAATTTGAAAAGGTAGGAAATTACTAGAAGGCATCCAAGTTTTTCAAATTCTTTCTTTCTATTTCTGTAAGGAGGTAAGGTAAGCACGTTCAAGGTTAAAGCAGTTAAACATATGAAGGCGAGTCTCAACATTGAAATCCAAGAAGTCTAGATTATAATGATTTTACAAACTAACCCTCAATGTTTAATATTGTATAAATGGCACCGTTTCAGGTGGAGAATACCATGTTTATAAGATTCACCTGTCTTGTGATTCTATAGATGATTAATTTGATATGTATGATGTCGTATTAAATATTATGAAAAATCATTAGTGCTTCTCCTAATCTCAACATCCTCTATCTCAGAGAGATAGATAGAGGTGTCAATCACAATCCAATTATATTGACCCGTCCAAATCCACCCGTTATTAAATGGAGTTAGGTATGCAATGAATTTTGAATGAATCTAAATAATTACCCAGTTAAACCCATTTATTTTGTATCCATTTAAAAATAATTATTTATTTAAACTCATTTTTATTGGGTATCAAATAGCAGATAAATTTGGATTTTTTATCAATTTAATAACAATAAAATATCATTATTTCTTGTCAAACAACATATTAAAAAATAAAGAAAAGTAGAATTTTAAATGAGTCATAAATGGATAATATGAAATAAGTAGTAAGTAACCTAGGGTAAAGAAATGAACAGTGGATCGAAAAGATAGAAATTAATGAAGAAAAGGTGTGTATAACAATGTGATTCTAATTAATCAGCAATTGTAGCAAAGAACAAATTAATGAAACTGTGCATTGATATTTTAAATACCGTTTTTATTAATTGTCCTCCTTCCACATCTTCTTGAGTCATAAGAGCTCCAGGAAATTTTCCAGGCGCTTGAAAATCAGAATCTTTTACCTGCCAGGATGAAAGAGTGTCAAAAAATTAAGTTCTTTTGCTAATAGGAAGTGATAATCTCACTACAAAGCAATGAATTGAAGGATGCTTAATTCATTCAATATATAAGTTTGTTTCCCTATAATACACCTACAGACCTCACTAACGACCTGGCCAGCAGAGTTCTCAGTTGCATCTGGAGGAGGACCAGTCTGTCAAACATGTAATCCAGAAAAATATTGTTCTTCGCAATAGTATTTTCTGGATAGCATGCTCCATTTGGATAGATCAGTTTTTGACAAAATTTTCCTTTTTTTTTTTGCCTAAAAAAGAGTTTGTCAATTTTTTTTTATCTTTTAAATTACTTTTTAATCTCATACATATCACGTCACAAATAGTGTTACAACATCGTTTTCACAAAAATTTTCTAAAACACGGCATCTAAACTGATTATTGCTACAATAAAAATTGTCCACATAATACACCAACAAATCTTTCGTGTAACTGGTGCGGATGGATGCTTGGTACCTCAACGTGGCTAATTCCTTCACCAAAAAAATGTTCCCTATAAAACAATGATTGGAATCAGTGAGAATCCAAGATGACAAGGATAAATGAACACATCTTCATGTTGCTTAGAAGGAAATTGCCAAGAAAGTTAGTCAACACTGAAAATTAAGCAGGAGTATTGATAGGAATTCAGGGCCACAGAAGCAAATTATGTAAAGTAGAATTGTGACTACTTCGAAGCCTTCAACAAGCTCTTTACATCTATCCTTTGATATCCACAATTTTTTTTTTATTTGGTAAAATCCTTTTAAACCGAAACCCAATTCTCTTGAACTCATAGCTTTTGAGAGAGATACTGTAGTACATCCCCTTTTGTGATGATGATAATATCTCGTTGTCTTCTGGGTGATCCATAAACACCTTCATTTTACTGCTAGATATAATTTTACTGGGTCAGGTTTTTTTTTTTTTTTGTTTTCTTAAGTTGGTTAGTATGATTGATTGCATTTTGATCGGTATTTGGGGAAAGCAAAATTGATTCTAGCTATGGTTGACTTTGCCAACACTAAAAATTTCGAGGTTACCACACCCACCTATAAAGTTTTGCCAATAAAAGTTTATTTTTTTGCAATACAAGTTACAATAGGTCCTGTGCTCTATAAAACGAGCCGTCACAAATGATTCTATGAAGTGTTTTTTTTTTTTTTTTGGTTTTCTTTTCGAATGTAAAGATTGTTTTTTTTTTTTTTTTTTTGAAACAAATGCATTACTCAATGGAGATTGAGCAGAACTTTCCCAAATGCGGGACTATTGCTGGGTGAATTTGGATTTTGGACTAAGCATTAGTATCTAAACATGAAGCACTTTTTTCCGATTAGCTCAAATTTTTATTCAACCAAGTTTTACATTTTCAGTGTTCTATAAGCAAAACGGTAACGCTAATGTAAGCTACATAAATCCTTGTCATCTTGCCTTTTATTTTATCTAATCATATTTGTGAAAACAGAGAAATTGGAAAAGAAGGAAATTCCCACAAGGCATCCCAGGTTTTTGGATTTTCGGTTCCTATTTCTGTAGTAGCATCAAATCAATTAATCACATTCAAAATTAAGCCAATTAAAGAAACGACAAGGTAGAAGTTCAAGTGACAAGCTTGAAATGACTAGATGCCAGTAAGAAATTATAAGTAACTGTAAGCAAATAAACGCAGGCCACAGGGTAAAGAAACGAACAAATAATAGATTAAAAAACATGGAATTTGCAAAGAAAAGTTGTTTATAAGACATGATTGGTTTTAAGGCATGATTTGATAGCACTTATGTGTTATTTAATTATCTTCCTTTTTGTCAAGATTTGTCATGCTATGCGTTACTCCGATTCCTTCGCATGACCAATGCTTTATCATGGTTCTGTCTAATGAGTGTTGAATGAACGCTTGTTAAGATGTATTTTCAAATGTTAGATTTTTAGAAAAATAAAATTAACTGGGAAAAGTGTATAAATGTAAGGAAGAATAATAATTATTAATGTGTGTATGTATATGATATGAAATTTAGGTGTGCCAAAGAGCACTCATTAAGATGTATTTCAAATGTTAGATTTTTTAAAAAAATAAAATTAATTAGAAAAAGTATATAAATGTAACGAAGGATAGTAATTGTTAATGTATGTGTGTGTATATGATAGATTAGATGGGATTTAGGTACGTTAATGAGTGTCTGTCGCGTGCTCGTTAGAAAAATTCATAATTTATTTGGCTAGGTCGATGTGTTTAAATTAAAGTCATGCACAGCTGTGGCTGCTAACATGTGGCATGAAATGCGTCTTTAAAACTTAAAATCGATGCTTCAACAATGTATTTGGGTAAGCCTGTACGTATAATGCCAGTAACATCATACTACTGCTATTGTATTGCTCGTGATATCTAATTGGGACAGCGTAGAAATATAGATAGCTGGTTTCCTGTGGACCATAGCCAATTAGCCGAAAGAGAACCGATGGTCCTGACCACCATGGCACTGCCACATTTTTTGTGGGCATTGTTTAGGGATTGCTCGGTTATGACCAAGAATTAATGTGCATTGATGATACAAATTACAATCTCTTAAGTAGTAGGGTTTCATTTGATCTTTTTTTTTTTTGAAATATAGATATAGTGTTTCGTTTGATCATTGGTCCATCTAAATTCAATACTTTGTAATACATTACTTTTTTTTTTGTTTTTTTCTTGGGACGAAGAGAACTTTTCAATTGCCTAAAATGTTCTTATAATAATGCTTTGCAGGTATTCTCATCTTGTCAACCGTGCATTCAGATTTTTTTTTTCTTTTGAAACCCCAATCCATATTTATCTTGTACGAATATAAACATTGAGCCAAAAATATCTTTGCACCAATGATGAAACGCCACCAAAATTGAGGTTTAAAAATTAAAATTGGTTGTAGATTCAAGTTCTACGGGCATGATTGGACTTGAGTAGGCCAGCCTGGTTAAAGTCTGTGGTTGCTAAGATTTGGCATGGGATGATTGTTTAAATCGATCTTTTCAATAATGTATTTGGGTAGGCCTTTATGTTTAATGCCACTAAAATCATACTGCTTTAATGCTTGTGATATCTATTGGGATAGGGTTCAAATATGGATATTTTGTTTTATCAAAAAAAAAAAAAAAGGATATCTTGTTTCTTATGGACCATAGCCAATTTGCTGAAAGAGGACCGATGGTCCTGACCACTATACCACTGCAATTTTTTTGGGTAGGAGCATTTGATCATTGATTGAGCTAAATTCAAACAAAATTTTGCAGAGTCAGAACTTGGATTGTTGTATTATTTAGGCCTAAACTTCAAATTTTGTTCATATCATGTTGTCCTCAAGTTCAGTTTAAAACCTTGACGAACAACAAATATTGTTCGATTCTATTTCAATTGATGGTTTATGAACCAATCTTAGATGATCTCTTCGGAATCGATTTTGTTTTGAACACGGGTTTCCTTGATTCGATTTTGAGCTTTATTTTTGATGATCACTATTCATAAGAGTTCACTTGCTCCAATGGATATTCATTACTTGAGAAATCATACTCTACTTTTCTTTCCGAAATGATAACTCTGTATTAACATTAGTAAAACTTTTCAGTATGTGAACAAAGGCCAATTACAATACACAAAATGGGAACACTGTTAATTAATTTCTCATCAAGATAACTGCTCAAAAGCATAGACGCCGAACTCACAATTCATGTCACTATTATCTTTAAACTCTGAGGGCACATAGGAAACAACAACAAATTCAAATTATTATACATATATATCCTTCAACAAATTCAGATTGTAAGCTATGCACATTAATGATCAAATACTCCTACCCAAAAAACTGTGACAAGAATTGCTTGAAATGTCAACGGTTTGAATGCAGAAACGATCCTATTAAGAATCCGATCCGGTTTCATGACTGATTCACTGAGTTGACCGGTTGAACCGTCGGATCGGACCAAATTTAATAACTATGGTACATATCCTTTAATAACATTGTCATCTTAATGTCTTTGTAACTCCTTGTGTGAATCTGATTTTCTCGATTGATTATTTTAACTGATTGTAAATTTTAATTTTAGATAATCAAATTTTTTTGGTGTTATCGATTACTTTTGTATTCTAATTATAGATTTTTTTAATGATGAAAAAGCTAAAATCTATATAATCATTCAAAGAAAAGCTTTTACTTATTCTGATAATTCTCTATAATCAGATTTTGTAAAATCTAAATCAACCAAGAGCAAGGCCTAAGTAACGGCTGGTTGGTGATTACTTGAGAATCATACTCAATAAGCATAATAACGCGTGAGGAACTCAAAAGTAAATAGTCTTTACTTTTACTTAATGACCACATTCATTTTGTTGCTTGTTTTTCCTTTTATCAAGAGATTAGTTGTCATGTTTGCTTAATTAAATAAATCACAATCTCTTCTAAGCACAAAGAAATAGGACAATCTATTGACAACAAAAGACCATCTTTCAAGACAAACTTTAGTTTTTTTTTTTTTTTGTCAAAGATAAATTGAAGGACAAAAAAATAGTAATGTTCTATCTATGGGCCATTAGATTAGCTTAGACATCTACAAGGGAATGAGCCTACGATCACTCAATTAGGATGACCATCCAACTTTTATGGACATAAATATGAATCCAAAAGAAGAAGAGCCTTATATATGTGGCTTCTCAAATATTGTCAATTCACAGATAAAAGTCGACCACAGAACCAAATTGTGAATTTCGTGGGGGAAAAATGGAGTTATTTGGGGCCTGGAGGCTGGAGGACTAACCAGTGGAACTGCTAATTTTCGGATACGAAGGTATTATGGAGACCCGAAACATAAATTCAGACAGTGGGAATTCCAAAACCCATCTTTTCCAAAACCTTGATAGTATGAAAAAATTAATTACAAACAGGGAGCAATATGCTTAAGCTGTAGGATATCAGAAAAATTGGAGGAGAATATGAATTCTCCTGTAGAAAGTACCATAATCAAAACGTGTTTGATAATTTTTGTTTTTCTCTAACAAATAGGGATGGTTTTTTACTCATTAAAATAAAATTTCAAATAGCTGCTGAGATTGTCAAATTCTAGTGTTATGATGTCTTATTAACTAGAGTTCATATTTCACGTTAAAAAGTTTTTTTTTTTTTTGCCATAAAGTTAAACAGTTAATCAAACCAAAGAAAATGGTTTTCTCAAAAATTCTAGTATTAAGATATCTTTTCCATTGAATTATATTTTTACCCAAAAAAAGAAAGTTGAAAGAAAGATCAAACAGGCTAATCAAGCTTGTCATCACAAACTGCAGAAAAACCATGTCAAATAGTTGAGATGATAATCCATCACAAGTTTGACATCTGAACAACAATACATCACTTATATATATAGCAGCAACAATAGTTAAGATCAAATTGACCAAAATCCAAAGATTTCAGCCAATTCATAAAGCTATTCTCAAGGCATATTCACACAGAATTATTCAGGCCAGGATCCCTCTTCAAGAAAAACACACATAGCATTGGAATATAAAAGGAAATGCATATTTTGAGAAGGGGGGCGGGCAGTTAGAAGAGGTGGTGATGGTGCTTTCCCTCGGCTTTTTCCTCTTCTTTTTTAGCTTCTTTCTTCTCATGATGCTCGTGGACTGCAAATCCACCAGCACCAACTGCAAGTGATGCACCAATCTCTTCCTCTATCTTGTGCCTGTGGGCATGCTCAGGGTCCTTCTTTGCTTCGTGCTTCTCGTGCTGCCATTTAATTTAATCAATTACAAATCATCAAGGGGAATTAATTAACCAAGAATCGAAAAAATTTTCTTACTGAGCTCTTAATGAGTTTACACACATATGGTCCGATCAATTGATTGGAAAATGGGGTTGAATTTTGAT